TACGTGGACAGTTTTCACTTCCCGATGCGACTCAGACGATGTCTCTTGAGAGAATGATTTATTCCATAGCGTCTGCTCTTATATATAGAATACACAGGACTTCGTCGTTGTATGATTATACACAACATTCCTCCCTTCAGTTTGATTGCGGCCAGAGCCTACGCAATCCGGCAAGAACCGAGTAATCGGTCGGCTTTTTAGCAGCGCGACCGGGTTGAATTCGGCTTGCTGGAGTTGGATCAGCAGATGGAGACTCCGCAAGCGTAGCCGGGGAGACCGGACTTGTCTCAGACGGTTGAGATTGAGCGGAACTTCCCGAACTGGCAGAATCGAAAGCCTCTGAGACATCAGCGGTTGGCAAGACCTCCTGAGATCCGGGCAAGAATTCCTCTTCATCTTCTGCTTGAGCCGGCAGGACTCGACGTTTCCATAACTGATTCAGATGACGCCTGACGACTTTCCCATTGACTTCCACATGAGCCATCGCTTTTCCTACTCGCTCCATGAAGACCGCCGGGACTCTGCGTTTCTTGTTCAAGCCCACCACGACTTCTTCCCCTCTGGCGAAAGAGCGGGACCGAACTCCGAAATGCTTGTCGAAAACCGCCTTGAATTTCTCCGCACATTGTGGAATTGCGTCGGAACGCGATCGAAACACGGCGAACGGAGAACGAAGACTCCGACCGAAAAAGATTTCGGCGGGTGTTTTCCCATCGAGCACTTGGTTTGGCGTGTAATTATACGCAGCCACCGCTTTATCGAGAGATGCCTCATCAGGAAATTCAAGAGAGCGTTTCAAAGTCCCGACCATCTTTTCCGCTTGACCGTTGCTCTGAGGGTGATACGGAGAGGACCGAAGATGAATGATGTTGAAGCTGCTGCAAAGCTCAGCAAACTCGGCAGAAACAAACTGCGGACCGTTGTCCGTAACAATGGTCTCTGGCGTTCCGAAGAGACGGAAAACTACGTGCAGATATTTCACGAGCTCGTAGCTCGTACTAGGCTTCAAGAATGCAGCATCCACGTACTTGGAGAAAGCATCCACCACCACAATAAAAGAGTTACCCTTCTGCGGTTCAGCGAAATCCAAATGGACACGAACCCACGGTTTTCCTGGATCAGGCCATGGGGCGAGAGGAACCTTGATGGGACTCGCTGCGGTTTGTGCACAATGACTGCATGACTTCACCAAACCCTCTATATCTGGTGCCATGTTCGGCCAGTAAAAATGTGAACGCGCCAAAGCCTTCATACGAACGATGCCTGGGTGTGCTACGTGGAGCTTCTTGAGAACCGAGCTTCGCAAAGAAGTCGGAATAACAACTCGATCACCACAAAGGATGATACCCGCCGTCGAGCACAAGGATTCAGCCTGTTGAGCGAACGGACGAAGGAGCGGGTCCTTGAAATCAGCCTTTAACCAACCTTCTTTGAGTCGACGCGACACTTTTTTGAGTATCGTAGTAGTATGCCTGGCTCCCGAAAAAGCTCTCAGAATTCTGCGTTGATGCGCCTCACACCCGAATGACGTGCACGCCGGATGTCTCTTTGCACGTTCCACGTAGGGATTCGTCACTCGCATTCGATCGTTTCGAAAGTTGTTGGGAACGAGATTCTCGAACCGCTCGTGGTCTTGCGATCTAATGGTTCTAGGTTACTAAACAAGAGCGTTTTAAGCTAAGAATGCCTGGACTGTGGACTGTGTTTACACTTGTGCTCCGCACGCATCTTGATTGACGGATTTCCCGCGGTGACTTGGAGGTTTGTGTTGTGTCAAGGTCGATCAACTCCGTCGCCGAGAATGAGGGAAATCGTTTTCGCTGATCCTGCCGATTCCATTGGAGTTCAGAATGCCGAAACTGACGTGTCCCTACGTGGACAGTTTTCACTTCCCGATGCGACTCAGACGATGTCTCTTGAGAGAATGATTTATTCCATAGCGTCTGCTCTTATATATAGAATACACAGGACTTCGTCGTTGTATGATTATACACAACATTCCTCCCTTCAGTTTGATTGCGGCCAGAGCCTACGCAATCCGGCAAGAACCGAGTAATCGGTCGGCTTTTTAGCAGCGCGACCGGGTTGAATTCGGCTTGCTGGAGTTGGATCAGCAGATGGAGACTCCGCAAGCGTAGCCGGGGAGACCGGACTTGTCTCAGACGGTTGAGATTGAGCGGAACTTCCCGAACTGGCAGAATCGAAAGCCTCTGAGACATCAGC